ATGCAAAACTGGGATAAAATGCAATAATTAACAGTTACTGCCTACTCAGTATGCACCAAGCATTATGCCAAGCTGCTGCAAACATTGCATTTAATCTTCGGAATGAAGAAACGAGGCTCTGTTTGTTCAAAGCAGTGGCTCTGGACCCTGGCTGCATGTAGGAGTCACCTGGGGAACTCTGATGCTTGAAACCATCCTCTAGAGTTTCTAGTTTCATTGACTTGCAGTATGGCCTGGGCATCAGGTTATTAAACAAAACTTCCTTAGGTCACCTGATGTGCAGCTATGTTTAAGAAACACTGATTTAAGTAATTTTCCTAGGATCCCTCAGATAGACCAGGGAAGGCAGGCATGCTGACCAGTCGGCCTCCTGAGCCCTACTAGTGTCAGACACAGCTCTAGGTCCTTTCACTACTAAGTGATGAAACAGATGGCAAATGCCATAAGAAAGGACAACGAATGCAGGGAATCCTTTATGAAAGAGGTCACTTATGTTTTTTTTTTTCCCCCAAGAATTTGCAGGGTACACAGAAGTGGTGGAAAGAATCAGGCAAGACTTCCAGACAGAACGAACCATCTGAGCAAAGATGTGTAGGCTGGGAAACATGGCAAATGGACAAGGAACAAGAAATAGATCCCGTGTGTGAAAAGACAGCTGAAGGAAATTTGGCAAGAAAGTCAGGGACAAGTTGTGAAGGACAAGGCTTCCCAAACCATTTCAGGTTGAGGCACATGTGGAATAATGATCACATTTGTAGTACAAACCAAAGTAAGTGGACAAGGCTGTCACCATCTGTCTTAGTCTGTTCAGGCTACAATAACAAAATTGTTGTTTACCTGCTAAGTCATTGACTCTTTGTGACCCCACAGACTGTAGCCCACCAGGCTCCCCGTCCATGACAGTGTGTTGCCATGCCCTTCTTCAGGGAATCTTCCAAACCCAGGGATCGAACCCAGGTCTCCTGCATTGCAGGCGGATTCTTTACCACTGAGCCATCTGGGAAGCCCCATAATAACAAAATACCAAAGGCCTAAAAACAACAGAAACTTATTCCTTCCAGTTCTGGAGGCTAGAAGTCTGAGAATTTGGTTCCAGCAGATTCAGTGTCCGGTGAGCACCCACTTCCTCACGAAGAGCAATCTTCCCACCATAACCTCACATGAGCAAAGGAACAAGACATGTCTCCAGTGTCTCTTTTATAAGGACACTAATCCCACTCCTGAGGACTCCAACCTGATTAGAGGCCCCACCTCCAAATACCATCTCACTGGGAATTGGGTTTGAACAATTCAGTCTATATCCTCATCTCAGCAGATCTGACATACCTACTGAGAATCTTCGGCATAAAGCCTGGCAGAGGATCCAAGAAGTCTGAACTTCACTCTCTGGGTAATGGGAAGCCAATGAAAATACCATATTGAAATGAAGAGATTGTGATAGGATGGAAGTTGTGTCTTTTTAATATAAATCCAGGCATTGTCACAGTGACTTCCTAAAGGCAAAACCTGACTTGAATTTTCCACCAAACACTACTAATAGAATACTGTCATGAACACCTCATGAAAGGTATCATGATTAGCTAGCTACCTGCATGGTATCTTTCCTACTAGACTTGGTTCTTCAACAAAAAGGATCAAGCCATACTCTCCTCCTTCTTTTTTTTTTTTTTCATTTTGTAATTCGTGTCTAGCATAGATTTTAACAGAGAGAAGGTGTACAATTAGAAACAGACTTTGAACGACTAGGGCTTCCCTGAGGGCTCAGATGGTAAGGAATCTGCCTACAATGCAGGAGACCCGGGCTCAATCCTTTAGCTGGGAAGATCCCCTGAAGAAGGGAATGGCAATCCATTCCAGTATTCTTGCCTGGAGAATTACATGGACAGAGGAGCCTGGAAGACTAGGGTCCATGGGGTCACAAAGAGTCAGACACGACTGAGTGACTTACTGTTTGAACCATTCATTAAATTCCATTCAGCAGGCAGCCACCTATTCCAAGGTTAAGAGGCAAAAGTTGATGCCAGTGCATGTACATTAGAAAGAGAATGGATGTAAGAGTCAGAGGACCATGACATCCTATCTGTTAACTTTTGCCTTACGTATTGAGGTGCTCCTATGTTGGGTGATATATAAATATTTAAGATTGTTATATCTTCTTGGATTGATCCATTGATCATTATGTAGTGACCTTCTTTGTCTCTTGTAACAGTCTACTTTAAAGTCTATTTTGTCTGATGTATGTATTGCTACTCCAGCTTCCTTTTGTTTTATATTTGCTCAGAATACTTCATTTTCAGTCAGTATGTGTCTCTAGATCTGAAAAAGTAATATATATATGATAATATATATATAAGAACTTATATATATATATATATCTGAATCATTGTGCAGCACGCCTGAAACTCACACAACATTGTAAAATCAACCATACTTCAAGTAAATAAATGAATAATAAAAATTGAAAAAAAAATTGCACAACTTGGAGGTCCTAGGCAGACACATTTGGTTTCCAGGGATATCCCCCTTGCTGGTTGGTGTCTCTTCTGTAACAGGAACAGTAAAACCTATCTAGCAGCACTGTTGTGAAACAGCACATCATAGAGTCCTGAGAAGGACATGGCAGCCCACTCCAGTGTTCTTGCCTGGAGAATCCCAGGGACGGGGGAGCCTGGTGGGCTGCCGTCTATGGGGTCGCACAGAGTTGGACACGACTGAAGCGACTTAGCAGTAGCAGCAGCGGAGTCCCGACACACAGCGGGTCCTCAGAAAAGTCTGTTAGCCCCAATACCCTTGACCATATTTTATTTTCAAATTATTTGAATCAAATAATGAGGATCACATTAATGATACTAATTTGTCCTGTTTATACTCTTTGTAAACATTTGTCCTATTGCATGTGTGTATGGCTGAAGAGCTGGAAGTCCTGAAAGTTCTGCTATTGCTTTTAGATAGCCCTCTACACAGTCACCAGGTAGGAATCATCATACCTATCATTCACTGAGAATTTGCTATGTTTCAGGTTCAATCCGAAACATTTCTTATATACTATCTGCTTTCATCTTCACAATAAGCCTAAACAGGAGTTGCCAAATCTGGCCCTGGCCTGTTTTTTTTTTGTATAGCCCACAAGTTCAGAATAGTTCATACATTGTTGAAGGTTTGACATATATATATATACTACATAGCTAGTGGGAACCGCCTGTATAGCACAGGGAGCCCAAGCTCGGTGCTCTGTAGTGACCTGGATGGGTGGGATGAGGGTGAGATGGGAGGGAGATTGGAGAACGAAGGAATCTATGTGTACAAATGGCTGATTCACTTCTTTGTACTGCAGAAGCTAATGCATCACTGCAAAGCAATTGTGCTTCTATAAAACAAACAAACAAAAAAGGTATGCCACAAAGACTATATATGCTGCAAAGCCTGAGATATTTATTCTTTTTAAAATTTTATTTATTTTTTTAATGGATGGAAAATTGCTTTACAATTTCATGTTAGTTTCTGCCATACAACAATATGAATCAGTCATAATTTTATATATATATATACATGTACATATATGTATATATATATGTCTTCTCCTTTGAGCCTCCCCCTCCCCTCCTCCATCCCACTCCTCTAGGTCATCACAGAGCTCCCTATGTTATTTAGCAATCTCCCACTAACTATCTAGTTAACACATGATCGTGTATATATGCCAGTGCTACTTTCTCAATTCATCCCACCCTCACCTTCCCCAACTGTGTCCACAGTATGTTCCCTACTAGATTCATCTGTATTATTTTTATAGATTCCATATATATACATTAATATGTGACACCTACTTTTCCAACTGACTCACTTCATTTGTATAAGAGGCTCTAGGGTCACCCACCTTGCTACAATTGACTCAGATTTGTTCCTTTTTTTGTAGCCAATCAATATTCCATTGTGTATATGTACCACAGCTTCTTTGTCCATTCATCTGTTGATGGACATCCAGGTTGCTTCCATGTCCTGACTACTATAAATATTGCTGCAATGAACACTGAGGTACATGTATCTTTTAGAACTGTGATTTTTCTCAAGGTATAGACTCAGCAGTGGGATTGCTGAATCGTGTGGTAGATTTATTCCTAATTTTTAACGAATCTCCATACTGTTTTCCATAATGGCTGCATCAGTTTACATTCCCACCAACAGGAGGGCTCCCTTTTCTCCACACCCTCTCCAGTATTTAATGTTTGTAGATTTTTTGATAATGGCCTTTCTGACTGGAGTGAGGTAGTATCTCACTGTAGTTTTGATTTACATTTCTCTAAAAATGAACGATGTTGAGCATCTTTTCATGTGTTTTTTTGTATGTGTGGGTTTTTTTTTTGGCCATTTGTATGTCTTCTTTGGAGAAACGTCTGTTTAGGTCTTCTGCCCATTTTTTGATTGGGTTGTTTGTTTTTCGGATATTGAGCTATATGAGCTGCTTATATATTTTGTAGATCAACCCTTTGTCAGTTGCTTCATTTGCAATTATTTTCTCCCATTGTGAGGGTTGTCTTTTCATCATGTTTATAGTTTCCTTTGCTGTGCAAATGCTTCTAAGTTTTACTAGGTTCCACTTGTTTATTTTTGTTTATATTTCCATTAATCTAGGGGATGGGTCAGAGAGAATATTGCTGTGATGTATGTCAGGGTGTACTGTCTATGTTTTTCTCTAAGAGCTGTATAGGTTCTGGCCTTAATTTAATCCATTTTATCTTTAATCTATTTTTATTTTGGTTTTGTATATAATGTTAGGAAGTGTTCTAATTTCATTCTTTTACAAGTAGTTGTCCAGTTTTTCCAGCACCACTTATTGAAGAGGTCAGTTCTCCATTGTATATTCTTGTCTCCTTTGTCAAAGATAAGGTGCCCATAGGGAGCATGGATTTATCTCTGGGCTTTCTATCTTGTTCCATTGGTCTATATTTCTATCTTTATGCCAGTATCATACTGTCTTGATGACTGTGTACTAACTCATTCTTTACCAAAAAAAATCTTGCTAATCCCTGGTCTGTATGGTCCCTTTACAGATGAGAAACTTCGTTTTTTAGAAAGGTGAAATAATTACCCAAGGCCACACAGAGAGTAACAAGTGACAAGTCTTGGTTCCAGGACTAATTTTCTACCCCTGGTCTTAAAACTAGCTCTGTTGTTTTACATTATGTTTAGAGGGAACTTTCCCTTTGACTTAAGCACAAACTTGACCCATCCATAGCTTGTTCTAAGGGGTTTGTGACGTGCCTTCTATATTGCCTACAGCCCTATATGTGCTCCATCTTGCCTCCCCTTATGCTTATATAAAGACAAGGGTGGGGAATGGGGAGGCATCAGGTTCTTTGCCCACTCCCGAGTTTCCAAAGCAGCAGAGGGTCAAGGGCTGGGAGAGGTCTGACAATCCAAAGAAGAGCCTGCTGAGGCGGAAACGCGTTCTTTGTCTTGGAGCTTCCGGATACCAGCTGTGGGGGAAGGGAGCGAACTCTGCGTTTTCTTTCCGGAGGAAAACATGGCCGGAGGTTTCCAGGTAAGCACACATTTGAGCAGCCTTGTCGTCACTCTGGGCTTTGAGGGGAAAGACACCTGACCACCACGCTGCTTCAGCTCCAGCGGCTCACCAGCCGAGAAGAGCAGCTGCTCCCCGTTTCATCTGTTTCATATTCAGCAGCAGGATTAGTTTAAGGTTCTGACCCCGGGAAAACGATGCCTGCAGACTAGAATAAGCACTCTGTTATCCTGTCCATCTGGGAGTGAGGTGCCAGCTTTGTCAAATGTGCTGGTTCCTGGAGAGCTAGTTGCCACATAGACCATCGGCCGGAGATTGGTATTCGAAGACGCAGAACGCATAAAATAGGCTTTGTACTAAAACTATCCGGAATATAATTCCATCTTTCTTAGATATTTCGGCAGGCATGGTGCCTGGAGACATTGTCCGAATAGGAAGAAGGTAGAGGAAATTAAATTCACCGTTTATTGAGTTCTATGCTGCTAGCAAGCACTGAGCGGAAGCCTTAAATCAATAGAGGATTTAATGCTGACAATCTTCCAGTGAGGCATCTCCACTTTACAAAAGAAAAAACTGAGGCTCGATGGGTTCGTTCATTCGTATGGTATTTACTGAGCACCTTCGCTTGACCTCAGCACTGGGAATACCTATCTCTGCCCTCCTAGAGCTCCTGTTCTTGGAGCGGAGCTTGAGTTAAACAAGTACAAGTAATTGATCAATTGTGGCAGGGATGAGAGTCACCAAGGGCAAGTCATGCTGCTATGACAACACCTAACGGAGGAAGCTGGCTCAGTTTGATCATCCAAGAAGACTTTCCTGAGGAAGTGAAATTGAAGCTGAGACCTGAGGTGTTCCATAGGAGAGGGGCAAAAGAACGTACCCAGCAGGTGGAAAGAAGTATGGTCCTCCCAAAGAGTGACAGCACACCAGGCAGCTGGGGCAGAAAGTGAGGGCTGGGGAGTGACACAAGGTGAAGCTGGTGAGGTCAGGAGAGCCTAGACCAGCAGGGCCAGCCTCGAGGTCCAAGCAAGGATGTTGGACTTTATTCCAGGAAGTCAGCAGGGTGCAAGCCAAGCAGACAGGGCAGTCCTGCAGAAGGCCAAACTCTTAGAAGTAAGAAGCAAGCCAGAGGTCAAGTGCAGGTTCAACTCTAAAGTCTATGTTTTCTCCATGGTCACCAGCATATCGTTAACATTTTTTTTCTGAAGCAAGCTGATTCAGTTAAGGGATAGGATCTTTCAAGAAAGACCGAAAGGGACTCCAGTGTAGAAAGAACACCCTGGATTAGGAATCAGAAGTCTTGGGTTGCCTCAGATCATTCCTGATCAGGCCTCAGTTTCCTCTAAGAGGGAGACAGTGCTTAGACTAAGTGCTCAATGAGTTATCACATGGAAAATACTTCAAACCACATAGAACCCATAGTAAATGATCGATAAATCTTAGGTGTTGGTTTTATCAACCTCTTTGAATGCTAGTATTTTCTGATTCTTAGTATAAATTCTGTGACTGTGTATGCAATTTTTCAGAACCCTCCCTGCCCAGACACAATCATCAATCTTGGTTATTTCTAGAAAAAGTTAAGAAAATTGTCCTTTTGACATAATCCTAGAATTTTCCAGTAGCACTTCAGGAACTCTTGTCTTCCTGAATTTTATAGCCCACTTAAATGTTTGCATAATTGATTCACCCCTCTTACAGAATTTACCCACATAACCCACAGGCAGAAATTTAATTACAGATCTGAAGGGACTTACTGTTATAATACTGGCAGAGCTTTCCTAGGTTAAGTGATAATTAAGGTTTAAATTCCACTGGGATCAAGCAACTTTTAAAAGGGTCCTCTCCCTCTGCCAGCCCATATTGTACCAAAGGTAGTTTGGCTTTTGAAATGCAGGACAATACTAAACAAGAAATTACTTTGTGTGCTATATGCAAGGTTGGATCTGCTTTTCTTTGGTTTCTTGATTTAGAGATAACACATTTCCACATCCTTGTTGTGTCCTGATAGCCTATTTCTGGAAGCTGGGAAGAGCTGGGAGGGCTACTCTTGTTTATTATAGAAAATATTCAATCCTTAGGCTGCTTCCCGAAAACCACCCCATCCCACCACATAGCAAGTTCTTGGGTCCTTGCCTTTCTTTTGCCCAGCTGGTGTGTGCTTTCTCTGGGAATGCAAACTCATTTTAATATTAGCTTAAGCAAGGCATAATTAGGAACACAAATCTGCAGCAAGAAAACAATATAATTCATTCAAAAGCTAAGATTTGATGACTTTTGGATTATCTGTCATTAGGCTTTTTTTTTTTTAACATCCCCATTGCTCTCCATTCCAGTAATTGAAAGCTGTCTGTATGTTTAAGTATGCAGCTGTAATTGGCCCGCTAATATACTCTCCCAGGCAAGCTCTGTTGTTTTGCAAAAACAAGAAACAGGATAGCTCATCCTCCTTTTGCAAGCTTAGTAAAGGAAGAGGCAGAAGTTCTTTCTCGATTCCCCCTGTGACAGATGCAAGAATAGAACTCACTATGCACTGAAGCTGAGTCACACACCGAGGGTAATTTTTATTCTGGGTAATAGTTCTTATTTTCCATAATCATCTTTTCTTGAGCTTTGTCTTCAGGCTTAACCATCTGCCCTCTCCTTCAACAGATTCATTTTGTCTTGAGAGCGCGTTCCTTTACCCCTTTGTCAAAACTGCAAAGCTCAAACAAACAAAAATAGCCACCCACCTCTGCATTATCAACTTTTTGTCATCGGAAGACTTCATCGTCTGCGCAAAAGTAACTGTGTCCAGCGGTCTTTTATATAACCATGTGTGTACCTGGGTGGGTGTGTAAATGTGCATGTTAGCAAAACTTAAAATCAAAAATGCGCTTATAACATATCACAATCAGAGAGTCACAACATGACTGGGCATTTTTTCAGGTAGAGGACCTTTGACTCACTCCTTAATATATAACACCCTCCTGGTAGGAAGGTGAACAAAATCGTGCATGATTTAGCTCCTAAACTATCCTTCTAGCCTCATCTCTCATCACTCCCCCACTGTGTACTCTATGCTCTGGCCATGCTAGCAGAATCTGTGCCTTGAAATTCATACTCCGTGCCTCCTCCAGACTTTACCACATGTTTTCACTCTACCTGGAATCTTCCTCTGCTGCATCCCTGAAGTTTTTAGTCCTCATCCTCCACATCTCAATTGTCACCTCTTGTGAAACTTGGCTGTGGACCTGGATCCACATACAGGTGCACAGATTTTTCAATTACAGAAAACAATTTTTTAACTCTTTCTTCAGGCAAGGCTGTATACTAGGCATCTGGGGTAAAGGAAAAAGAAGAAGAGGGCTTTGATGAAACATCCAAAGCTTTCCAGTTCCCCATCTCTAGCTCTTGAAAACAAATGATCCCTAAGACTCTGAACTGCTAATATCCTTATACTATAGCCATATAATTTGCTGGTTCTCTATGCCATTTTACACAGGACTCTAATCATTTTTTATTCTAAATTCCTTATGAACAAGGTCTGTCCTACTTCTAAATGGCCTACAAGGCCTAGCACCAGGATGAATATATAAGAAATACCAACAAACACAATTGATTAACTTCCTATTGACCCGTCCTTAGAGTGTCTTCCACAAGAATCATTGAGCAGCATGGCGAAATGCCCAGGAGACTATAAACGGCATAAAGACAGGGACTTGGTTTACCATGTTCAGCATCTTCCCAAGTCCTAACACAATACCTGACACACCATAGGCACTCAGTAAATATTTATGGGGTGAGTAGATGAATGAAGGCAGCAGTGAACAAAAGTCTTGCCCTAAGGGACCCTCTAGACAATGAAAGAGACTTAAACTCACATTGTCCTCTCTCCTCCCAAACTTTTCATTGAAAATTAAGTTCATTTTTTTTCCCTCACTTCTTCTCAGAGATCTCTTGACATGGGGTCTTTCCTTTTTTCTTAGGTAACCCTTGAAAGGAAAATGAATAATCTTAGCAGAAACACATAGGCAGAAATCATCTTCTAAATAGCTTTGGACAACACCAGGAATGATGATTGGCATAATTTCTACTCTGGAAGGCTTCACAGAGGTAAGATAAATGACAATTATTTCTGTTATGGCCTTCTATTCACCATGAAGAGTCAATGACAATCATTACAAAATATAAAAGCAAAGTCTGAAGTACAAGCCAACAAATCTTCATTCTGTGTATTTGAGATAAAACCTTAAAAGATGAATAAGCCTGGAGTGAAGTGAGAGAGAATGCAAACAACTCCATACAACATGATAATCGCTATGCTGGAAGGATGGACAGAAAGTTGAGGAAATAATGAAGATGAAGCAATTAATTCTGTCTAGAGCATACAGGAAAATGTCACAGAGAAATTGATCATTGACCTAGTACTTCATGATGGTAGGATCAGCAGGTAGAAGTGAGATGAGCAATCCAGGTACAGAGAGCAGCATAAAACATGAAGCGTGCATCATGCTCCAAGTGATTAAGGCAGCTTGGCTAAGATAGGCTATCAACAATTTTAACACCAGTTTCATTTATCCCTAATGAAAACAGTTGTAGGTTTAGCTTACATTGATTGAGAAAGCACATCATAGCAAAATCTACTATGCATATAGTAGAGCTCTTGAACAAAAGTGTATTTTATCAATCACTATTGCAGCTATGTATAGATACAAAAAATAGTATCACATTGCCAAGGTATGAAAGTAGTCTAAGTGTCCATCAACAGATGAATGGATATATAAGTATATATATATATATATTTTTTATATATATATATATATATATATACTTTACACATATATATATATACTTTACATATATATATATATATACTTTACATATATATATATATATACTTTATGTAAAGTATATATATATATATATATATATATAGTCCTGTATCACTTTGTGACTCCAACTCTTTGTGACTCCATGGACTGTGGCCCACCAGTCTCCTCTGTCTGTGGGGATTCTCCAGACAAGAATACTGGAGTGGGTTGCCATGCCCTCCTCCAGGGCATCTTCCCAATCCAGAGACTGAACCCAGTTCTCCCACGTTGCAGGTGCATTCTTTATAGTCTGAGCCACCAGAGAAGTCCAGGAATACTGGAGTGAGCAGCCTATCCCTTCTCCAGGGATCTTCCTGACCCAGGAATCAAACCGGGGTCTCCTGCATTGCACGCAGATTCTTTACCAGCTGAGCTACCCGGGAAGCCCAGGACTACTATTCAACCATAAAAAAGAATGACATTTTGCCACTTGCAAGAACATGGATGGACTTGGAGGGTATTGTGCTGAGTAAAATAAGTCAGAGAGAGAAAGACAGATACTGTATGATATTACTTACATGTGGAATCTAAAAAATATAACGAACAAGTGAATAAGACTAGGAAAGAGCCAGACTCTCAGATTCAGAGAACAAACTAGTGGTTACCAGTGGGGAGAGGAAAGGGGGAGGGGCAATACAGGGGTGCGTGAATGTGTGCTTAATCACTTCAGCTGTGTCTGACTCTTTGTGACCCCATGGTCTGTAGCCCACCAGGCTCCTCTGTCCAGGGGATTCTCCAGGCAAGAATACCAGAGTGGGTTACCATGCCCTTCTCCAGGGGATCTTCCCGGCCCAGGGATCAAACCCGTGTCTCTTGCACTGCAGGTGGATTCTTTATCCACTCAGTCACCTGGAAAGCCCAATATAGTGGTAGGGGATTTTAAAAAGGATAATCATGGGATTGTATGAAATCATGTTTGTGAAACTTTTATTTTTTGTGTGTGAAACTTTTAAAAACTGTAAGCACTACAGAATTTTAAAAATCTTTCATTCAATGTTTTAAAAAATTTTTTAAAAGTCAACCCCATCTATAAATTTCAATGCAGTAGTCCTAAATAAAATGTTTGTTGATAGATTTTAAAAAGTAGTAACACATGATGTCAGACTTAAGGTTCACATCATCTTCCCTTTCTAAAGGTCCCACTGAAACTAAAACAGAAGATTTTTATCTAGAAAAAATAAGTGATCTTCCTAGAAAATCTTCCTGGTAAGGAAATCAGAGCTTGAGAAAGAAGACGACTAGGACTTGAGGCAGTTCCTTCCACCCACACAGAAGTGCAATAATGTGTCTGCGGGGAGATGAGTTGGAGGAGGAGAGGGACAAGCAGAAAAGGAATGGCAACTCTGCCCAGGAGGGACATACTGTTCCCCATCACCAAAGTGAGGTCATTCTCCTTTGCAAAGGTTGAGGTTCCCCGCATGCCATCTTCTCAGGGAAACCCTACCTACAAAGAGCCCCCAGGCAGCCCGGTAATGCAATCATCTCTATAGCTACAGAAAAACCATATCCTACAGCCCAACTCTCACTCAGAGATAACCTGGGAATTATCCACAGACACGGGAGGAAAATTCACTGACACCAGAGAAAACAGAAAATCCAGGGAACAGGGAAGAGGGTTTTTGTTTTTTTTAAGTCATTAGAATCCTCAGAGTCTAGATTTTGTATCAATTAAACATGAACAGGGTGCTATATAATAGGGAACCATCAGCCAAAAACAAAATAGTTCTTAGAAATTAAAAATGACAAGAAATTCAATAGGTAGGATGAATAATACACTAAATACAGCAGACAACCAAACTGGCTACTCAGAAAAATAAAAACAAGAAAACTTCTCAAGATTTACATCAAAAACTTTAAAAACATGCATACGATGAGAGAAAAAATAGGAGACAAGGGGGAAAGGGAGTATGAGTAGGCAGTGAGGCAGTGTTTTTGACTTTCCCTAACAAAAAACCCAATGATTCTCTTCAGCTTATAGAGACAGGAAATTAGAGGTTTGAGTATATTATTTAAGGTCATATGGTTACCAGTAGAACTAGAAACACAGCCTATTAGCAGTGATTGCCTCTAGGACATGACACTGAGTTGAGGAAGCTGCCTCTGGGATAAAAGAGCTTCTTTTGTGGACTCCTGTTTTCTTTGGAAAAGATAATTACTACATAGATACACATTTATTCTAATATTTTTAATAAAGTTATCCTGAAAAAAAGTATAATACATTGGCAGAATTGAGACACCATTTCCATCTCTGTTGAATATTCTCTGCCAATATGGGGATCCTGTGTATGCATCAAAAAGAAACCCCAGAAGGAAGAATATATTCTATTTATTTATTCATTCAATCATGCAACAAACATGAATTGAATGCCTGTTGTAGGTCAAGGGCTGTTCCTGCACAAATAAAACAGTTCAGATAAAGCAGTTAATACACAACAAACATCCTTCCCTCACAGAGCTGTGTTCTTCCCTTATCACAATAATGTCAGGGTTATTTCTTTGCAATTAATAGGCTCAGTGTTAACTGGTTGATTCTACTCATATAAAGTTTTAAAATACGTAAAGCTCATTTATGATGAAAAACATCAGAAAAACAGTTACCCCTTTTGGGGAATTAACTAGAAACAGGAGCATAAGGGAATTTCCCGGTGTGGTGGAAATGCTGTATATTTCAGGTTACACAGATATATGCATTTTTCTAAAAATCACGTAGTGTACATTTCAGATTTGTACATTTCCCCTTATGTGAATTTAGCAAAAAAAAAAAAAAAAAAAAAACACGAAATTGACAACAAAATTTGAACTAAAAAAAAAAAATTGGGCTCAATGTTACTTTAACTAAGGAATGTGTTTCTCAGGTGAAAAATAAATCACATTATTTTCAGAAGAAAAAAATCAAATATTTCACAATGATGAGGTGTGTTTACCGTTAGGTAAATTCAGGAAGAACCCGATGTCCTCCTAACTTCACCCCAAGAAGAGATCTTCCCAAGGATGGGGGGGAAGATCAGATGTGAAAAATTTGAAGAGAGTTTCTGGGGAAAAGGACAAGATAAGGAGATTAAGTTGGGGAAGGAGGCAGCTACCATGAAAGACTAGAAGGTGAGGCTCTTTTGTACAGTTCCTGGGAAAACGCTAACCAGGAGAGTCCCAACTCCTAGCCATCAAGCTCTGCGCTATTTGAGGAGGCTCCGGTGACCCTTGAGTAAACAAATTGCTTGCCCCTCCCTCATGAGGCTTGGTCCTCGGGAGGATTAACCTGGGGGTACTCAAGAACAGACATGTTCCCTGACCAGAAGCCACTTTGTAGGTTCACAGAAACAAAGACCAAGACCCCAAGCTTGAGAGCAAGTCAGTGCCAGGAAAATTCTGTTCTTTCCTTCAGCAGGTCTCCTGGGACAACCTCCACCTCCACCCCAGCAAATATGATCACAAAAGAAGGATACCTCCAACATGAACTAATATTTATGCCTACTACCAGCAAGTGGAAAGACACTAGAGGGAATAATTGCAAAAGAAGCTAGATTAGACTTAGACAAAATTAAGAAATTCCATTTTCTCTGCGAATCCTGGGAGATGCATGAGTTAAGTTTTGCGAACCTACAGCATATGTTTCAGTCACATTACTTATTCAGGCTGCAGACTTCTTGATGTACATATGGTTCTTCTGATCTTTCCAAATAATTCCATAAGACCCCAGAGTGCACAAGTTGGAAATATTAGGGCTAGCAGGAAGGGCGCTTATTGGGGGGAAGTGAGAAAATGAGGCCAGGGAAGCAGATTTTTGAAAACCACCTCTTGTGCCATACCACAAATTCAGAGGAGAGCCAAGAACCATACAAAGGTACAAAATGTCCAAAGAAGAAAGAAGTGAAGTAAGAGACGGTTTTTAAGGAAGGGAGTGATAGAATCAGATCTGGGTTTTGGAAAGATGATGCTGGCAGTATCTAAAGAGTGAATTTACAGAGAAAGAGATTTGCAGACAGGGAGCAGACCTAGGAGGCTACAGTCCTTAATCAGACAAGAAGTGCCCTAAACCAAGTCACCACTTCTGCACAACTTGAACTGGTTCTGTGTACGTGCGTGTGTCAGTCGCTCAGTCGTGTCCGATTCTTTGTGATCCCATGGACTGCAGCCCGCCAGGCTCCTCTGTCCATGGGATTCTCCAGGCAAGAATGCTGGAGTAGGTTGCCATGCCCTCCTCGAGGGGACCTTCCCGACCCAGGGATTCAAACCCGCGTCTCCTGCATTACAGGCAGATTCTCTAAATGCTGAGCCATCAGGGAAGCCCCAACTAACTCTGAGCAGATGCAAATGGGAGGTGCATATGTCCACCCTGCTTCTCAACCCAAGTCTTCTCTGAAGTTGCTGCCCAAGCATCTATTCTGCAGTCTCACACAAACAATCCAGCAAGACGAAGGTGTGAACGCCTGGGGGCATCAGCTTGCATGTTGACGGATGGGACTGTCTCAAGTGGACAGTTCTGAGATGAGCCTCCTAAGGCTCCACAGAAGACCTCGCAGGATCGGGACCCCGCAGCGGTAACCAGCCCGGGACCGCAACCCTGACTGGCCTTCTTTCCCTTCCAGATGTCCATGCCTCTCCCTCTCACAGCTCCCTGGGCCTGCCCTCGAACAAACCGCCGTCCACAGCTCGAGTAGTAGATCTTGTCCTTCCTGGAACCCAGGCTACCACAGGTAGTCACAGCAGCAGCTTCTCACATGAGGTTTGGTGCCAGAGAAGCAGAAGGTTCCCCAATGGCGGGGCTTTCCGGTGTGCGTGACAGAATGACGTGCGGTGGGCTACGTGACGTGACTTCCTCCGTCTGCGTCACGCACAGGGCTCCCTTTTCATTCCGCATGGCTAGAGCCCGGCTCCTGGCCTGTGAGAAGCTGGCTCAGTGAAGCTCTGACTTCTTCAAGACTGTTTGCTTCCCGCCTTTCGTATATGTGGTTTCATTTCTACGTTGTCTTCCTGTTCTTCCTCCTCATCCCTCCATTCCTTTTGTCCCCTCATGTCTTTCTTTTTCACTCACATCACACAGTCCATTTTCATGTTCTGAGCTAAAATTCTTTTCTAAAAGCTTTTATTGAAAAATAGTTGGTTTGCCGTGATGTGATAGTTTCAGATGTATAGCAAAGTAATTCAGTTATACATACATATATATATATATATTCCTTTTGAATTAATTTTTATAATTCTCTTCCATTACAGTTATTACACGATCATGAGTAGAGTTCCCTGTGCTATAGTAGGTCCTCGTTGATTATCTTTTT